ACAGTGAGTTCCAGGACAGCTGGGGCTACAGGGAGACCCTGTCTCAAAAAGATCCCCCCCAAATTTTATCTTTATTATTTTATGTGTATGAGTGCATTACCTGCATGCATGTAAGTACACCCATGTCATATAATGCCCTTGGAGAAAAGACAGTGTTGGAACTGGAGGTATGGATGGTTGTTAGCCACCATGTGGGTGCCAGGATTCGAACCTGGGTCCTCTGCAAGAGCAGTCAGTTCCCCGAACTACCGAACCATCTTTCCAGTCCCCAAAAAAAGTTTGGTTGTTTTTTTTTAAATTTATTTATTTTTTGTCTTTTTGAGACAGGGCCTCCCTGTAGCCCCAGCTGGCCTTGAACTCACAGATATTCACCTGCCTCTGCCTCTCAAGTGCTGGGATTAAAGGCATGCAACACCATGCCCCGCCCAAAATAAGTTTTAAAAGGGTTAGCTCACATCTATAATCCCAGCACTTGAAAGAATGAGTCTGAGGTCTGCTTGGGCAACATAGTTGAGTGCCAGGCTAGCAGAGCAAGACCTTGTCTCAAACAAAAAACGACAGTAACAACAAACAAAACAGGCCTCATACCTGTAATCCCAACACTAGAGAGGCTGAGGCAGAAGGATTACCAAAAATTTGAGGCCAGCCTGGGTTACACAGATGACACCTGTCTAAAAAAAACAAAACAATCGGGGCTGGAGCAATGGCTCAGTGGTTAAGAGCACTGACTGCTCTTGCAGAGGACCCGGGTTCAATTTCCAGCACCCATATGGCAGCTGCAAACCGTCCTGAACTCCAGTTGTAGGGGTATCCAAAGCCCTCTTCTGACCCCCGAGGCATTGCACAATAGTGCACTCACTTACATGCAGGCAATACATACATACACATAAAATGAAAAAAAAAAATCAATAAATATACCCGCCCCCCCTCAACTACCACAAAACAACAGAAGCAAAAAGAAACAATTTCAAGAGCTGTAAAATAGTCAATCTAGTTAGACCACATATTTAAAAAAAGGAGTGTTAAGGGCTACATAGAGAGAGACCCTATCTCCCTACCCCACCCCCAAAAAGAGAGATGGCTCAATGGTTAAGAGCACTGGCTGCTCTTAACTTCTTGCAGAGGACCCACCTCTGTTTCCAGCTCCCACACGGTGGCTAACAACCATCCTGAACGCCAGTTCCAGGGAATCTGATGCCCCTTTCTGGCTTCCTTGGCACTCCATGCATGGTACCCTTACATACATGAACATAAAATACTCATACACATAAAAACAAATCCTTAAAGCATAAGATTTATTCTTTTTTGTACACTAATACTGGTAGGAGTCTCATTCTTTTGGTTATTTAAGATGAGTAGTAATTAGCATGTTCCTTTATTTGGAGAAAGAGTATTTCAAGTAATTTACAAATATTTGTCTCTGTAGTTCCAGCTGGCCTCCATCTCCTAAGAGATTCACCTCTGCCTCTGAGTGCTGGGATTAAAGGTCTACAGTATCATGCCAAGCTTTCAGATGGATTTTTAAAAATATAATTACTCTAAAAATGCTCAGCCACTGTACTGCAGAGAACATGGAGAAGGTAAAGATACCACACAGAATAGGTGAGGATATATTTAAATAATCTGATAGGACATGGTACCAGAGCTACCACACCCAGCTTAAGTCATGCTTTCAAAGTGTATTTCAAAGAAAAATGAAAACCTATATCCACACAAAAACTCATACACAGATGTTTATGGTAACATTATTAATAGCCAAAAAGTAGAAGTGATGGATTCTGATACTAAGTACTACAAACTGTCATAGAGTGGCCTTCTCTGGTTCTGTTTTTTGAGGGGAAAAAGCTCTGTTGCTAGGAAACAAGTCTGAAATTCATGTTTAAAGTCAGCCTAGTTGTGGTGGTACATGTCTTTAATCTCAGCACTCAGGAAAGGCAGAGGCAGGAAGATCTCTGTAAGAGTTCCAGGCCAGTGAGACCCTGCCTCAGAACAACAACAAAACCCATATACACATATAAAATTCTGTAAATTCAAAGGCAGAGTAAGAAACAGTTATCAGTGATCCAACACTTGCTCTAAAACTAATCCAATGACACTGCCATTTCACCAAAAACCAAAATCTTAAATCTTAAGGCTAGATCACAGGACTCTCAGCACTAAGACTTGGCTCAAAAAGTCTAAACAAATTAAATGCCAAACACTGAAACTTGGCTTCCAAGATTCTGAAATCCTGAGCCAAATTACATTTCAGTTGCAATACACTTTCTCCTGGTAAGAAAATGGCTATTTCTCCACAACCTCCTCCATCACTGGCAGAACCACAGGCTGAGCTCTTGGAGAACAGCTTCCTGATGGGCTCTAAATACAAGGATTTACTCACCTCAGGGTGTTGGTGGAGATGGCGACAATGCCTTCAGGACACTGTTCAGAAGCAAAGCCAGACGCAAACTCCAGGGTCTCATAAGACAGAGGGGTGAGATGGAAACGAGACTGGTAAGAATAGCTCAACCATGAGCGACTTGACATGGCCAAAACCTGAGGAAAGAACATTGCAAGTAAGACTGGGAAGGCTCCGATACCAAGTCTGAGAGGCACAAAGCCTTGCACCCCTTAAGCAGTATGTAAGTATATAAGGAGGCAGTATATGGCTGGTTCTACACCAGAATCATAGGCTAGATGAATCATTTCTCTCTGGGCTTGTTTCCATATGTATACACCAGGAATCCAAATACAAGGCTGGACAGCTACAAGAATCAAATAAGGTAACATTTAAGAACTAGCACTGTGTCAGGCATGGCGCAGGCCTTCAATCCCAGCACTCAGAAAAACAAAACAAAAACACCTAGCAATGCATCATCCAGCAACACTAATATTCCCCCCTGCCCCTCTCTCTCCCTCCACCCTCCTCTCTCGACAGGGTCTCCCTGCAGCCCCAGTTGACCTGGAAATACTCAGTGTCGACTAGACTGCCCTCAAACTCACAGATCTGTCTGCCTCTACCTCCCAAGTGCTAAGATTAAAGGTACATGCCACCACGCCTGGCAACACTAAGATTCTTAACTACAAGGACAGAATGCCTTCATATTGGATGGTAAATTATGGTATTATTATGGGCCTGAGATGCCATGAATGGAAGATGTCCAGCTATTCCCACACCTTAATACACCATCCTAAAGACTCAAATGACCAATATCTCAACTTCTTATAACCTAGTAATGTCACAGGGCCATGTACCACCTCTTAGGATTAAGAACCCAGCATTTCCCATTTGAAGGAAGCCAATCAAGATAGAGTTAACAGCAAACCAACTACAAAGTTGTGAACTGGTTAAAGTAAAATTTACATTGGCACCATCAACATCCAAATGTGCTCCTTATCTCCTTGTAACTACTTACTGCCTCCTGGCCTTGCATCCGGACTCGGAAGAGCTTCACAGGACGGGAACCCAGGTACCTAGTTCGAGTGTCAGACAGGTCCCCCGTGACAGGGTCAAGGACAGTTCTCAGCAGCACACCATTCTAATCAAAAGGAATAAACAGGTAAAGCCTACTCAGGACAGAAGCTTATAACTGTGAAGGGATTCTCCCTTGGCTATTTTAACAGAAAGAAGGATGAGACTTATGGTCAACACAAAACAAAAAACCCTAATATGCATGTGTGTGTGTGTGTGTGTGTGTGTGTGTGTGTATACACACATCTATCTTCTATACCTTTTTAAAACCATTTAAGTCAAATTCTTCTTTATAATTTAAAAATAACAGTTGCTGGGAGTGGTGGCACATGCCTTTAATCCCAGCACTCGGGAAACAGAGGCAGGAGGATCTCTGTGAGTTCAAGGCCAGCCTGGTCTACATGGTGAGTTCCAGGACAGCTGGGGCTACAGGGAAAACCTGTCTCAAAAAGACCCCCCAAAAAAATCACTTCAGCTAAGTGATATGCCTGTGTAAATAATTCGTTAAGGAAATACAAAGTACATCATCAAGGACACCGATACTATCCTAAGCAAGGCTCCTCCTTTTCAGGGCCAAGAGCTCAGCTGCTAATTACAGGAACATCTCGGGTTCATTAGAACTAAAGGGGTCAACTATGAACTGTATGACTATTTAGGACTCAATTAATTCTACTCAGCATATCAACCACAAAGCATCCTTAGCAGATACAAAGATTCTCTGTGCACATTTTTTTCCAGGCCTGCTTGATAAGCTATAAGTGCTAAGAAAAGTGTATCTATGGTACCACTAATACTTTTCATAAGGTGGCCATCTGGAACTATGGGCAAAGAAAATGCCTGTAAATGGACAAAGGAATGTGTGAAATCTACAGCAGGACTGACACCAAAGTGAGCCTCTGGAGTTCTTACCTGTAGCCCAATGTTCAGGTACAGGAAGCCAATAGAGCCCCTCTCACCCAGCTCATCCTGCTTTTCAGTCCCACCCATTTCCACGATACATAAGGACTCAGGTTGGGCTGGAAGGGCCTGCATACTCAGAGGCTGCAAACAGTCCTGAGGAAGAGAAAAAAAAAGTTATTCAAGACACAACAGATAACCAATTTGGAAAACAACATATCCACAGAACTCTAATGTTCAGATTAAAGAAAGAGCTCTCTTGAAGGCAAGAGAAAACAGAAGTGAGGGTAATGGGTTGTTAGCAAATCTAATCTCAGAATAAACTTTGGGAGAAATCTTGTTTATTTTGTCGAAGTACATAACAGTAAAAGTAAGCAAGCAAAGGACAGCTTCCCAAGTCATGTAAGGCCCCAGAGCAAAAGAAGTTCCTTCCAGATCAAGAGTGCCTTGGGGTCTTAAACTACCAAGGAGATTCAAGTCTTAATGCCAAAGAAACATCTAGTAGTTTCAGATCAACATCTTTGAACTATATAACAAGACTCCTGAGGTGTGCAGCTTTAATCATCAATAGAAGCAATAGATACAGGGCTAGGTTGGCGTGCATGCACGCATGTGTTGAACACAGACGTGTGTTACAATGATAATGTGGAGATTCAGCAGACATAGGGCTGGGGCGGGGGGTGTCTTGTATTTGCGAAGCTGTGTACCGGAGATGGTGGATTGTTGGATCCCCAGCAACACAAAAAAGAGAAGGAAAGGAATGGTGAGGGGGCAGTAAGTTTAGGGTTAGGGCTATAGGTGCTCAGAGCCCACACACAAATTGGGGCTAGCACTCACTGATGGGTCCAGGGAGATGATTCTGACAGTGTTGTCCACCAGTCCCACAGCCAGGAATCGAGATCGTTGTTCTCCAGGAGGTACATTGGCCAGACTCATGCACACTACGTCTGCTGACATCTCCTTCCGCTCTGTGTACTCATTCAGCTGTCCCGACTACAGGAGGGAAGACAGGGATGGGTCTAAGTACTCTAATTCACTCCGAAAGCCTGGGCCAGAGAAACAAGGTGGACTGCTAGGCTTCTTTTTGCCTCCTCACTCCTCTCCTCCCCTCATTTGTTTCTTGAGATGGGTCTCATGTAGCCCATGCTGGCTAAGCAGCCAAAAAATGCGTTTGCACTTCAGATTCCATCTCCACTGAGTACTAGGGCTACAAACCTGCACTACACACCAAGTTTATGCAGTGCTGGGGACTGAATTCAGGGCTTTGAGCATGCTGAGCTGTACCAACTGAGCTTTATCTCCAACCCTAGTCTCACTCCTCTTACAACACTAACAAATGACCAAGAATTTCTCTACCTCATGCCCCATGATGAATTACAGGTTAACAGCAAACACATGAACGCCCCAGATGGAAAGAAAACCAAAAGGCTTTCACTAATCATAATGTGCCACAAACCTTTTATCTAATCTAGTTCTCAGCAAATAGAAATACATAATACCAATTATCTGTACTGTTCACGAGAACCCTGAATGAAGCCAGGCATGGTAGTGTATGACTATAAGCCCAGCATATGGGCAACAGTAGGTAGAAGCAGGAGGATCAGGAGTTCAAGGTCAATTCAGCCTACATGGAACCATCTCAAAAACAAGAACCCCTTACCCTGCCCCCCCCCCGAAAAAAAAAAAAAACCCAAACAAACCCCCAGGTAAAGAAAATTCGTTTTTTTTTTTTTTTTTTGGTCTTTTTTGAGACAGGGCCTCTCTGTAGCCCCAGCTGTCCTAGATCTCACTATGTAGACTAGGCTGGCCTCAAACTCACAAAGATCCGCCTGCCTCTGCCTCCCAAGTGCTGGGATTAAAGGCATGCGCCACCACACCTGGCTTTTCAGGTATGCTTTAAAAAAAAAAAAAAAAAAAAAAAAAAAAAACAAAACACGAAAACTTCTACCTATGAGAGATTTCCTAAGAGCGAAAACATTTCTATACCTATTTTCATATAAAATGGCAAGTCAGACACAGTGGCTCGTGCCTATTAATCCCAGCACTTGGGAAACTGAGACAGGAGGACTGCCAGGAGTTTAAGACCAGCCTGGACTACTATGTGAGGCCCCATCTCAAACAAAACAAAATACAAAGGGTAAGAAAATAAATCTTTGCTGGAAAGGTTGAGTGTGAGGTAAAGAAGAAACAAGTATTTCACCACCAGGAGGGGACTTCACAACACTAATCTGAATCAGATTTACTAATCTCTGTGCTTTGGAAAGGGTCAGATTGCCTCGTGGATACTTTCATTTGCTAATTCTTTTTCTTGTGAATACATTTTTAGATACTGGAATAGTAACACCTACCTTTACCTGAGGATCCAACCCTAAGTCCCACAGTGAATAATGAAACGACATAGTCTCAACACACACATCCCCACACCCCCACACCCCAGAAACAAAAACATACAGGATCCATCTCAAAATAGACCAGTTCTCCTCCAGTCAGGGCGATCACGACCTGTCGCTGGTTCACTGCACACTTTACTATTGTTTTCTTGCCAGGGGTCTTCCACTCATTGACTCTCTTATCTGCTCGTATGTGTCGAATGCCATCTGGATACACCTAGTAGTCAGTAAAGAAGGAAATCTTACTAGCAATTCGCTTATCATTCAGAATGCTCTTCACACCTGGTCAACCTGGATCATGCGATTGACCAACAAAAGTTAGCAGAGCCCAGACAAGTCAATTTATGAAGAATTTCATAAAAGCTCATGATTTTCCATGTCCATTTCAAAGAAATTCAAAGCCCACTTGTTAATAAAGAAATAGAAAACTGAGAGGAAATGTTAGGTTGTGCTTACTCAGTAAAAATCTGTGAGGCGTGATTTTTACTGCAGCTCTTCATGCTGATAAAACATTATGTGCCTTCCCTAATGCTAAGGTCAGAGTTGAATATGAGCACATATATAGCACAACAGCATGACTAGGGCAAAGAAAGGAGAGCGGGCTGAGCAGGTAAGTAAGCTTACCTGCACCAAGGCGTCATCTCCTAGTAAGGAGCAGGACAAGGTTGGAGTGGTGCCCAAGAACCCAGAGTCAGTCACTTCTTCTACAGTCTCTCCGATAGACAGCACAAGGGTGGCGTTCACGAAAGACACAATGATATAGGCATCAAACTCATCTGGAAAAGGAAAAGAAAGAAATGGTTAGAAAAGAGTAGAATTCATTAGAATTAGAAAGCCCAATGAGACACTATTATAAGAGTTTTCAGAAACCTTGCAACACACTTCCGTGTGCAGCTACTACATACATACACAATACAGGAGATGACTGAGGGCCCTAGCAGCCTACAAGTAAGTACCTAAATACACTGAGTACAAATGTCTTCCTCTCACACCTCTGAAAACTAGTATTTTCTTGAGACATGTGCTGGATAGCTTTAGTGTCAACTTGACACACCTGGGTTGAGGGAGCTCAATTGGGGAATTGCCTCCATTGGACTGGCCTGTGGTCATGTCTGTGGTGCATCTTCTTGATTGTTGAGTGATGTGGGAGGGCCCAGCCCACTGTGGGTGGTGCCACCCCTGGGCAGGTGGGCCTGTGTTGCATAAAAGCAGGCTGAGGAGGGACCAGGGGAGTAAGCCAATAAGCAGTGCTCCTCCATGGCCTGTGCTCCAGCTCCTGCCTCCAGGTTCCTGCCCTGAGTTCCTACCTTGGACTCCCTGGTGAACTGTGACCTGGGAGAGATGTAAGCTGAATAAACCCTTTCCTCCCCATGTTAGTATCGGTCAGAGTATTTTGTCACAGCAATGGAGAAACAAACTAGGACAAGACATTTTCTGGAAAAATCAAGACAAAGGAATCAGACATGAGAAAAATTTAAATACGTATGTATGTGTATACATACAGAACTAGAGCAAATCCGTACCAACTGCTATTGCTTGAGATAAGGTCTCATGTAGCCCTGGCTGGCCCAAAACTCACTGTCTACCCAAAGATGAGCTTCAATTTCTGATGCCCCTGACTCAGCTCCTGAGTACTGGGATTACAAGCAGACGCCATCATGCTCACTCAGTTTATGAAATGCTGGGAGATGGAAGCCAGGTTTTCCAGCATGCTAGACAACTGAGCTACACCCCTGCTTTTTTTGTGCCAACTGATAATCACTGCCCATTCTGAAGAGATAGTCCCTTCGTTATAACTAGAAAAACCCTTAACTTCTTCCAAAAGAAGTTAATATAAGAGTAAAGCTCTAGGGGCTGGAGAGATGGCTCAGGGGTTAAGAGCACTGGCTGTCCTTGCAGAAGACAGGGTTTCGAATCCCAGCACCCACAGCCAGCTAACAAGTATCTGTAACTCCAGTTCCAAGGGATCCAAGACCCCTTTGACCTCCGAGGGCACTGCATGACAAGAGTATACTTACACTCATAAACAGAAAATAAAAAAAGAACACCAGTTAACCAGGAAGTGGGGAAGGAAGGATGTTTATATTATTGGTCCTTGACCTCTCTGGCTTTTCTTTGGTTATATAGGTTTTTGTTTTTTTTTAAAATCCAATGGTTATGAACAATCTTATCAGCATTTGCTTTTCATGATGTAGTTGAATAAACAAACACTGAGTTTCTCAAGGTCAGAAGATCTACATTCTATATAAAAGCATCTCTAAAAGCTTCCCCTGCACATCCCTTTGTTAAAGGCCATCTATTTCCCATATTCTCATTCTATAGCATAGAACAGCTTGGGTTGCCTATGTTTACAATGTTTGTCAAAACACTGGATACATACTGAATAAAGGCACTTTTTTATTTTAGACAGGGTCTCCTTGTAGCCCCCGCTGGCCTAGAACTAGCCATGTAGACCAGGCTGGCCTCATTCCTATAGAGATCTGCCTGCCTTTGCCACCACACCCAGCTTGCAAGGCATTTTTAATTAAGAATTTTTTTCCTACTTTATACTTTCAGTTTTATATCAACTCTCCAATTTTGTCCCTCTAATCCAGAAATGGGTAACAAAGGACAGAATACAACAAAAGGCATTCAACTGGGGTGGCTGCCTCACTCCTAGGAACGGCAGCCATAGGGTCCTGCTTGTCCTGAGCCTTGTCCAAACTCAATGCCATAGGGCTAACTTAATCACCCACATCAAAGGCACACTTTTAGTTTGTAACATTACTCTAAAGCTACTACATTCATTCAGCAGAATCAGAATTCTTTATAGGAGGGAAGTCAAGACTTATTGGTGTGGCCTACAGCAGTGTTCTCATCCATCAGCAGGACATAAAATCAGTTTGGTGAGTAGTAATCAGTACTCTATAACTGAAATATTATAATTTATGAAACTGCTTCAAACAGTAAAGTTTAAGTACTGTTTGAAGAAAGTTTCAATTAATAATGCATGTTTAACAAGGGTGGCCAAAAAGCAAGAACCAAAGACCTTCTGCAATGGGTACATTCTAATGGCTAGGTCAGAAATACACGAGATACAGATTCAATTTTCTAAACTTAAGGCGTAACACTAGATCAGATACTTGACTTTTAATTATGTTGTTATAATTATCAGCATGTATCGAATGCTTTGGCGACATCATATACAATGGTCTTATAATGCCAAGCACTGTTTACTGTCTGCCATAAAGTGAATTAGGGCCCAGCAAGTAAAAGCACTTGCTGCATAGGCCTGGTGACCCGAGTTCAATTCCTGGAAGCCACATGGAGACCTGACTTCACAAAGCTGTCCTCTTAACTCCATATATATGCCGTGGCATACATGCCCCCCTCCTCCCCACACCAGGCACACATATAATGAATAATACATACTTTTTTTTTTTCCCCCTTTTTAGAGACAGGGTGTCCCTGTAGCCCCAGCTGTCCTGGAACTCAGTACGTAGACCAGGCTGGCCTTGAACTCAGAGATCCACCTGCCTCTGCCTCCCAAGTGCTGATATTAAAGGCATGCACCACCACGCCTGGCTATAATACATTTTTTAAGTGAGTTAGGATATGGTTGTGCCAAAATGAATTTTTAATAGCTTACACGAAAAACAAAATTCATCTCCACGTGATGACAAACTTAAAATACTTTATTCCAGTTCTCAATTTCTGACCTGGAAATTCCTGATAAATAATAATAGAAATTGGTTATATTCATGGGAATCATTTCCCACGCACTAAAACTTGATATCCTCAAAGCTGGGTAAGATCAAATTAAAGCCAACCAATACAGGATTTTAACTGGCCATAATTTCCAGTGTCTTCCTTCAGTCAACAGAAAAGGGGGTTTTCAGATGAGAGGCCATACCATTTTTGACTCACATATAAGAGAACGGATGCAGAGAAGAGCGCTGCCTGGGTTTATACCTTCCCTTTGACAGTAAGCCCAGATTGCTCAGATTTTAGCTAAACAAGCAGAAGAGTAATGACTAATGTAAAAAGCAAGCTCCTTTTACATCACAGGTTTCCCCAACATTGATTACCCAGTGGATACCCAAGCATACTGTAACTTCTACCCCCTCCATTCTCCAGCAATGAAGTCCTGAAACAGATAAGTTACTCTTAAGGGAGATTATAAAGTTGATATTCAGAAAAAAGCCAAGCTTCAGCCACGGTAAATGACTGAGAACTATAAATGTTCACAATGCCTTTTTCTAGAGGTTGTGTCCAATAAAGAATATTATTTTAGATCTTGGTGAAGACTCTCTTAAGGTACGAAGAAAACATCTCCTTAGGTCTGAGTCCAGTAGATTCCTATCTATCTGAACACAGATATAGCTATAGCACCCCAGAGAGGGGAATGCTATTCCTCTTGCCTTAGGGTCAAATGCTCTACAAGTAGCCCAGCCCAAAGAGTAACATGAGCCATAATCCAGATGATTAAGCCTCCCATATTTCATTCTCACTTGATATTCTGAGTACCTGGCACTTATCTTGCCTCAGCATATTCCTAACGTACTCGAGGGCTTTCTCCGAATCCTGATCTTTCAGTCAGCATATGTGGAATGAACAACTCCAAGAGAACAAAGCTACAAAGTGCTAGTTACTGCTCTTTCAATTTTATAAAGATCAGCTGCTTTATTTTCCAAAATCTGTGGGGGGAGGAGAGGCTAATTTCTGCCTCAAACCAGCTTATAAGCAAGCAGATGGGTGTGTGTCACTATAGCGCACATGGACATCCACCTGCAGAATTACTCCCTGGGAAATGCCATTAGGGTGGCATCAGTTATTTTATGCAGGTCATCCCTCTCCCTATAGGGCCCCACAGTAGATCCTAGCAGCAAGTACACACCTGTGGTAATCAGCACCTTCACCAGCCACCTGTGGAAGAGAAAAAAAGGCTTGGTATTGGTAGTGTGCATCGCCAAGTACCAGCCAAGGTTAGTATTTGCCTGAAGACTGCAGCTGTGTGGGAAGAGGAACACTCATTCAATAGCAACATGGGGTATCTGGAAAGAAAATGACCAGAAAACCTAACATGTTTTTGTGGGTAACTGCCTAAAACACAGTACTCTTTAGGTAAAACTGATCAGAAAATAGTTGGTATCCAGTTTTTAATATTTGCTAAAAAAAATAAATAAAATTCAACTACCAAATTCCATCGTAAGAAACTGCCTATCCATCACTAATTTTGCCAATAAACATCTTTTTCTCCCCAAAATGTTAATCTTCCAGCAAGTCTGTTCTCTCTCTTGTAATCCCTCTTGGCAACATGCTTGCCCTTTCATCACATCTTGGAGTACAACAGTTGGATTCTCTTCTTATTTACTTTTTTTATGGTTCTACGAAGTGAACCAGGGCCTTGTGCGTGCTTGTCAAATGTTCTATCTCTGAACTACCTCCAGCCTCTCTTACATGACAAATGCTGAGGCAGGGATTCTACGTTAATTGCTCTGACTAGATGGCAGGCACTAGAACGAATACGGGATGAAAGCACAGCAGAAACCAAGACTACAGACCCCAGCAGATTCAGAACTGAGCACTGGACTGGGCTTCAGGAGGCAATTTTCTGGCCCTATTTAGATGCATTATCTTGAGAATCAATGCTTGGGACTGTCTGCCTTCTTCATAAAAAAAAATGAAATGTAATTTCTGTAAACCTAAATCTGGTTTAAAACTTTGAAAAACTGTCTAAAAATTAAAAGAAGTATGGGGACACAAGTCTGTCATCACTATACTCAGGAGGCTAAAGCACTGTGAGTGCGAAGCCAATCTGGACATGGTAAATTCTAGGCCAGTGTGAGTATACAGTGAGACCAGCCTTAAAAATAAAAAAGCCAGGTGTGGTGGCACACATCTTTAATCCCCACTCAGGGAGACAACAGGTAGGTGGATCTCTGTGAGTTCTAGCTCAGCCTGTTCTACATAGCTAGTTCCAGACAGCCAGGGCTACATAGTGAGGCCCTGTCTCAAAAAAAAATTTAGAAAAGGTACAGTAGGTAATCTGAAAGCATCTATTCACTTGTTTAGACAATGTTTTCAAGAACCATAATATATCAACAGCCACCAAGACAAGCATCACCACTGACTAGCTTCTTTATGCAGAAATTACATACAACATAGAACCTCTTTTAAACTAATTATCCAATAGTTATCTTCTCAGCTAAACTAAGCCTTCCAACTCCGTTTATTTTCCCCCATTTGAACTCATTTGATTCCAATAACTACAATGAGAACAAAAATCCACAAAAATATGTAGTATTTACTAGTAGAATTCCCCCCCTACATATTTCCCAGCTCCCTTCAGCTTGTTCCATTCAACTAGAACATCTAAACATCAGGCAGAATTACAGCTGTTTTCTAAAAAAAGCTTTGTTTGCTGGCCAAAATGATCTTACTCCCTAGTCCCACATTCCTGAGACACAAGAGGAAAATGAGGGTTTAGAAGAGAAATAAGCTGCTCCAAAGCGAACCAAAGAGAACACGAGAAGTTTTATTTTTATGGAACTGAAGTTCAACTGTCACAAGACTTTCCTGTTGTTAGTACTATATACTGTTACTTGAGGTTTCAGCTTTAGGGTAAGGTGATCATTTTTATCCAGGAACTCAGACTCCCTCTCCTTCACAATTCCTTTTCTACACCCTCTAGATCCCCCTCGACCAACCTCTGCTTTCCTTAAGCTCAAGCAGAACTAGCCAAATGACAGGCTTTACAATCTTGAAATTCACTGATTTTAGCACAATGAAAGAACACAGCTGGAAAAATGAGAAAGCACCAATTTCCCTAACAGTACACCTCTTATACAGATGAAATAAATCACACATTGCAGCCCTATGGTTCTGAAATGTTTATGCAACTAAAACGTTAACAGCCACTCTATGCCCTTTCTATCCATTTTCACAAAAAGCAGCAATAAATGAAGGGTATCCTGATTGGAAGGGCCTCAAAAATGTAGTGCTGAGTCAACGTTTCTGGTATATGGTGACAGATGAAGTGATACAGAAGTATTATGAATGCAGTCTCATAAGTTTTCTATGGCAATGGTCCCTAGGTCCCATTTTCAATACCAAGAAAGGGATGCTTACTTACCTTCAATGTGCCGACGTACTGTCCAGACAGCATTGGGGTTACCAGGTAGCTCAGAAACAGCCATTTCTGATACCTGATAGGAAAAGATGCAAGCCACAGACAGATCCAGTGAGCATGAATCTACTATTTGCATATTCTACCAAGTAGCGAAGTCCCCAAGGCAAAGGCAGTACCTCCCACTGTGTGCTGGATTAACAGAAGGGAACACTCAGTCAAAGGAGAACCTAAAAACCAAAGTGAAAGAACTAGCAATCCCCATGACAGGATTTAGCAAAGGCATGGAACATCCATGCAGAAGGGTAGTGTTTAGAGCCAGAATCATAAGCTTTCTTTGGGTATGACATGCCTAGATCCTTCCCCGAAAAGGGACAACCACCACTGAGAAAGAAGCTATCAGTACTCTACTTCTTTCTTTAACTTCTTTTTTTCGGTCTTTTTGAAACAGGGTTTCCCTGTATCCCTGGCTGGCCTCAACTCACAGACCAGGCTGGCCTTGAATTCACAGAGATCTACCTGCCTCTGCCTCCCAAGTGCTGGGATCTAAGGCTTGAGCCACCACTCCCGGCCTCCTTTCTCAACTTCAGAAAGACTAATTCCATTTCCTTGTGGACCAATGCAAATTCCACACCCTTGAAGAAAAATATTCCTTCATCCCTTAGCTGGCAATCACCTCTCCCTTATAAGTGGCTCACAGAATTCAATCTACGTGCTCTTAGGGTATAAACTGTGGGGTTTTTTTCAAACCACTCTTTCATGTTTCTTAAGGACACAGTCAATAGTGGGTTATATGTGAACTCTATTATCTTTCTAATTTTTCTATAAATGTAAAATCATTCTAAGTTTATTAAATGTTTTTTAAATAATTAGAGTAGACAGCTTGATGAATTATACAGTGTAACTACATCTTATAGGAAGGACCCAAATTCAAGAAAGGCATTGTCCTTTTTAGTTTGTAAGTAGCCAGGCATGGTGGCACATGCCTTTGATCCCAGCATTTGGGAATCAGAGGCAGGAGGATGAGGTGGGGCCAGCAGCCTGGTCTACATAGCAAAAACCAGACCAGCTGGGGCTACAGGTAGACCCTATCTCAAAATGACAAAAAAACCAAACCATAACAAAACCAAAAAGTAAGTACAACAGTGATTAAGAATTAAGAGCTTCATCAATCCGGGCATGGTGTCATATGCCTTGATTCTAGCACTCCAAAGGCCCCAAAGCAGAGGCAGGCAGAGTTTGAGTTCAAGGTCAGCCTCGTCTACATACACTGTCAATCTTGACTAAGACAGATAAACAAAGAAAAACAGACAGACATAAAGGAACAAAGCAATGTTCAACAAATTTTAATTATTTTCAAATATAATAAAGATCTGCTTATAAGTTGTAAGGGTGGAGCAAGAAATTAAAGTGCAATGAATCCTTTATCTTATACTACCCCAAACATCTTGTCAGTGCATACTTTTTGTCAAAAGAGCTAACTTTTCTCAAAAACTCACTAGGATCCAAAGAGTAGTAAGTAATCAAGAGTTCCAGCTCCTAGCACTCAGCTTGAGGCAGGAGTGCAGTGACTCTGAGGGGCAGCCTGGCTACATAGTGGACTCCAGGTCAGCCCTCCCTACCATTTGAGACCTTGTCGTTAACAGTAACAAAAGGGCCTGTGTCTTGGATCAGCAAGAAAAGAAAGGCACTTGTTGCCAAACCTGACAGCCTGAGTTTAATCCCCAGGACCTACATGGTGGGAAATAATCAACTCTTGTAAGTTGTCATCTGATGTCCAAAGGCTTGCTATGGCAATCACATGTACATAAACATAAACACATAATAAACAACTTTTTTTTTGTCTTTTTGAGACAGGGTCTCCTGTAGCCCCAGCTGTCCTGGAACTCATTATGTAGACCAGGTTGGCCTTGAACTCAGAGATCCACCTGCCTCTGCCTCCTGTGTGCTGGGATTAAAGGCATGTGCCACCATGCCTAGCTACAAATAAACTTAAAGAGAGTAAGGAAAGGAGAGAGGACAGAGACTAGGAAGTGGGGAAGGAGAAGAGGAAAGGGGAAGGGAAGCACATACACAGGCTGGCTCTAAATTTGATGTTCACCTAAAAATTTGATGGGATGATGACAGTATTTTCAGATTCCTGAAACTGTAGTTGGAATTACAGTCATGTGCTACCATATACAACTACTACATGCTAGATCTTAAAACAGTTTCAACTCAGCCAGGTGTAGTGGTGTATGCCTTTAATCCTAGCACTCAGCAGGCAGTGGCAGGTGGATATCTGTGAGTTCGAGGCTAGCCTGGTCTACAGAGTTCCAGGTTCCAGGCCAGCTGGAGCTATAGGGAGACCCTGTCTCAAAAATAGTAGCCCCCCCCAAATCAGTTTCAACTCTTAACAACCCTTTAAGGCAAGTACCATTATTAAGCAACTTTTACAGAACAAAAGCTTAATAACTGTTTAGTACAGTCAGAATTCAAAACCAAGGTCATTTTGGCTATGTTCCAACAAGTTTATTTAAAAACAGGCACCAGGGTGCTGGAAAGCTCAAGGCTCAGTAGCTCAGGGCTTAAGGGCACTTGCTGTTCTTCCAGAGGACTCAGGTTCAGTTCCCAGCACCCAAATGGTGGCTGTCATCTTCTGGCCTTCACAGGCACTTCACACATACCAGCAACCAAATTACTTGTACAAATAAAATAATTAAAAAAAAAAAAAAAACAAACGGGCAATAGGCCCCTTAAGACCTGTTTGCCAACCACAAACTCTAAAATTAAATGTCAGAAAGTTTTCAAGATGTTATGGCTTGTGAGCCTGGAACTACCATGCTATTTATTAAGTCAAGGGATAGGCAATCTGAATTTTATAGATAATGAAGGGGAGAAGTACTTTATTTTTTCATTAAAAAATCATCAAAGAAAACTTAAAAAAATTTTTTTTTAATTTTTTTGTCTTTTTGAGACAGGGTCTCCCTGTAGCCCCAACTGGCCTGGAACTCACAGAGCTCCACCTGCCTCTGCCTCCCAAGTGCTGGGATTAAAGGCATGCGCCACCATACTGGGCCAAAGAAAACTTTTATATAGATGGTCTGTGCTTCCTTCCAAACTCTGAAAAGAATCAGGAAATTCCCATCTTACCTCAAGTCCATGTCTTAAAACTCTCAGAGATGACCTGGGTCCCCTACCACAGGCCACATACAGCTGTGGAGTGTCCTCATTGGCCAGATCAGCTATCTGTACAAAGAACAAGAAAAAAACATCTATTGTACTGTTTGCAAATACAACTATCTCAGGACAAATTGTTCCCTGGTTTAAGGTTATATAACGGCCACTGATTCTAGGGTAACAGAAAAAAAAATCCAGTGCCCCAAAAAGGCAGGTTGAAGGGCTTTTTATGACTTAAAATTATTTTATGTGTACGAGCGTATTGCCTGCATGTGTGTAAGTGCACCCAGGTTGTGCAATGTCCTTGGAGGTCAGAAGAGGGCATCAGATCCCCTGGAACTGGCATTAAGGACAGTTGTTAGCAGCATGTGGGTGCTGGGATTCAAACCCAGGTCCTCTGCAAGAGTAGCCACTGAGCCATCTCTCCAGCCCCTTGTTTTTTAATTTAAAAAAAAGACTTAAATCAGTTACAAGTCAGAAAAGGAACTCTGACATTTAGTGAAATGAAAAGTGTTTTATGAACCCACACCTAAAATTAGTTGTCTCCTTCCAGTTATAAACATACGGACCAAACTATACCGACTACCTGCAATTTTGTCACTGATAAAGTCAAAAACTATTTATTACATAATTAAAGTTTGCAGACAGGTCCAATTGTCATTTACCACTACTGCAAATTGTATTTATTAGACTAAACATTATCAGTTACTCTATCTACAGATATTCTTATGATGTCACTAACCAACTGAACCAAGGACAGTCTTGAACCTCACACATGACTGAAATCACCAGGCGTGATGGTGTATGCCTTTAATCCCAGCACCCAGGAGGCAGAAGCAGGCAGATCTCTGCAAGTTCAAGGCCAGCCTGGTCTACACAGTGAGTCCCAGGCCAGCTGGGGCTACACGGAGACCCTGTCTCAAAAAGACAAACAAACAAACAAACAAAAAAAAGACTGAAATTAGTCAGGCATGGTAGCTTGTACCTACAATCCCAGCACTCAGGAGGGTAAGGCAAAAGGATAGTGAGGGTCATGACCAGCCTAAAGCTGTACAGTAAGACCCTGTCCCAAACCCCTGAAATAGGTTTTAATAGGTTTTTAGTGCCCAAATTTCTCTAATTATGTCACCTTTTCCTTACTGGAGATTCAATAGATATGTTGTTCTTAGACTACAATTTAATTTGAGGAAAACTTTTAATAAATCATTATACTTCAGATTCAAGAACAGTAGGCTGGCATGTTGTGGAGGTGATTAGAAAGGCCCACACCTGGCAAAACAGAATGGGAGAGAGGCTGTCCAGTTCATCAACCAGCACAAGGTTTTTGAGTGGTCTTGGCTGAAAGAAGAACGTGTCACCTTCTTCGAGAGGCATGGCAGAGGAAAACTCAGGTTCTTCATCATCATCTCCAAGATGTGCAATTTGATACAAGTAACTGGGGAGATACAAAGAGAGATTTTTGTTGGCATTGGTAAATCATAAATTATTTGTGCATAGTCAGATGTTTGTATCTTTGGGAATGGGATTTGATACCAAGAATTAGCTACATAAACTAGGAAAGGGAGAGATATACACAGGAGGGTAGGAAGGCATTCAGAATAAATGTCATGTCGAGGAAAGAGAGAGCACAGGTTGAAGAGATAGCTTAGTCAGTAGAGTGCTCACCACACAAGCTTGGAAATCTGAGTTCAGATCCCAGCACCCACGTAAAAGGCCAGGCATAATAGCAGTGCATATCTGTAATACCAAAGCTGACTAGAGAGACCAGCATGGAGCTTGAGGACCAGCCAGGCTAGACAAAATCTGTACAATTAAGTGAGAGACCCTGTCTCAGAAAGTAAGGTGGAGCAATTAAGGAAGACACCCAACACTGACCGCTTGCCTCCATACACAGGCAAACACAGAACACTAAAGACAAGGCAGAAACTGCACAAAATCCTAGACAGTACCTACATTCTGTTTTTTGAGTCGGGGTTTCTCTATGTAGCTCTGGCTGGCCTCATTCATTCATTCATTCCCCCACCCCACCCCCCTCGACCAGGCTGGGCTCAAACTCAGAGATCCAACTGCCTCTGCCATGCTGAGATTAAAGGCATGTACCACCACAGTCGGCTAGTATCTACATTTTAATTATGAGAAAATTGGGCTTTAGATTAGTAAAGTGGTTTACACTTTAGAAGACACTGGCAAGACCATGCTAATTTATAGTAATTTGGAGTTCTGAATACTAGGTCTTAGATTATAACAGAGGGATAAAGGGAATACTGACATAAGGATTATCTTATCTGATGAGTAAAGGACAGATTTTGTAAGAAATCCTAAGAAATAAGTCATTTAGATTGGCACCATTTAAAGAAATAAAAACAGAACTCTGCATGTAACTAAAAGTAGTAGAGGAAAAACAAATTGAGTTTTATACTTTAGTTGCTAGAGGTGGCCCACTAGTCAGTAAGAGAAATACTGAGGTGCAGTGGTGATGCAGGAAGGCAGGCGTGGGTTCTAATGATCTTCAAGTTTAGATCTGTACAAAGTGCTTGTGAAAATCTCTCTAGAGTTTTTTGTTTTCTTGAGACAAGCATCTCACTATGTAGCTCAGGCTTCCTCAAACTTGAGCCCTTCCTGCCTCAGTTTCACAAGAGCTAGGATGCTGGTGGCTAAAGATATTTTTGCCAAAATTCAGAAGTACTGATCCAAGTCACTGCAATAAAGAGCGCTAACAAAGAAAATGAATGCAACAGAAGAAAAAAGGAAATTTAAAACTGAATACGAAGCTGTGCACAGTGGTGCACATCTTTAAACCCAGCACTCAGGAGGCAGAGGCAGGCAGATCTCTATGAGATCGAGGCCAGTCTGTTCTGCACAGTGAGTTCCAGGCTATCTGGGGCTACAGGGAGACTGTCTCAAAAAAGGAAAAAAGAAAAACAAGAATACAAAGAACAAAGGCAAGCAATACTTGTTTTGAAAAACCTAAAATATTATGAAAAGCTCCCTAGCTTTGAAACACACTTCCCCCCTGCCAACTTTTACTATTTGTAGTAACAAGGGTAAACTAAGACAATAAAAGGACTACTTACTGGTTTCCAAATTCTGATGCCACAAAAAGGAAACCTGTTTTAAGCACACACATGGCAGCAGCAACAGGTACGGTATCAAAATACTTCAGGCGGATCTCAGTTACCTGGAACAAATAATAAAAGCAAATAATTCAAGGTTGAGAGGAAATGATGAAATAAATTATTCTGGAGAAAGATCAGTAACACAACCTCACAGAACAGTTAACAATGTAGGGATGGTTGGTAAAACAGCTCTGTAAATCTTACATGTATACGTAAATATAGGGAATTTTAGATAAGGGTATTTAATCATATTAAAATGTTGGGGCTGGAGAGATAGCTCAATGGTTAAGAACACTTGCTATTCTTCCAGGACCTGGGTTCAATGCCCAGTTCCCCAAATGGCAGCTAACAATCGTATGTAACTTCAGATCCAGATCTAAGACCCTCTTCTGGCCTCTTCAGGCACTGCACGCTCATGGTGCACTTACATACAAAATACTCATACACACACAAAAAATTAAAAATAAAATATTTTAAAAATAAAGTATTTTTTAAAAAAAGATTAAAATGTAGAAACAAGACTATATCAAATCAAGACTACAACAAACTTTTTTGTTCCTTTTCATCTATGATCTACTTACCATATCTTCATCTGTCTCCAAAGTGATCTTGAAGATATCTCCCTGCTCAGTTTGGGCCAAAAAGAAGAACATGGACTTGGTCTTGTGGGTGGCAGAACAAACAAAAATCATTCCTCTTTCAGGGTCATCCAGGTCATTCTAGGAAGGCCAAACACACAACCAACATCTTAGAAATCAGATATCAATTTCTGGAATTCAGTACCTTGTCAATGGACCACTTGAGGCCTAAGATATAAACTGTGGCCACAGTGGCCAATAGACCAAAAGACCTAAAACTTGTCTGCCAGAAATATATAATAAATCCCCAATAACCAAGAACTAGGTAGCTATTATTTCACCTGGCAGCCTGATCAGATCAGTAGGCAAAAATCATCTCCACTGAAAAATGTCAGAGAAGAGACATGAAATAAGAGTCATCACTTCAGGCTGTGAATAATAAAGAAAAAAAAACCCCATTCATAGCCATCCATCATCAACCCTGTTTTGCTGATGTTCCCACCCCATAGCCAATTCTGGTGCTTTGAGTTTTTAACATTTTTCAACACTTTATAAACTATTTCTCCACATAAACCCTTTTTGAAATTTTGTATCTCTTCAATGTCCCAAAGCTAAGCACAATTCCTGGCACTGTTGGATGCTCAATAAATGTCTGATCAACAGTCTGATTTTACTGTTCTCGCCAAGATTAAATTCCTTCCCAAGTTTTGCAAAATTGATGGAATGCAACTCAGATACCATCTCTTACATCAACTAAAGAACTCCTACAAGGTTTAATCACAGGACCAATATTAAAAAAGCAAATAATTAAAGACTGAGGGGAAAACAATGAAAGAAATGATTCTGGAGAAAGACCAGTAACAACCACAATACGAATAGATTTGGGGAAGGAGAATATTTATAAGTCTCAAAAATCATCATTTTCTGGACCCTTACAGTGAAGTGACACTACCTTAACTAATAATCTGGCATAATCATTGATGCAAACCAACATATGCAATAATTCTAGCAAAATACTAAACATGTATACAATCATGAAGAAACAGACTAAGGGAAGCCAGACATAGTGGTACAAGCTTAGGAAGTGGAAGATCAGGAGTTCATGGTCATCCAAGGCCACATAGGGATTTCAAGGTCTTTTTAAAAATAGGGGGTCCAGCATCACCTGAGTGGTGGCCCCTAAGGAGGCCAGCCTGAGTTTTCTGAGACCTTGTCTCAAAACAGAAACAAAAAAGAATGGACTAAGGGAAAAACTGTAAGAAAATTAGTCAACTTAAAAGTATCAGTATCATAAGAACTGTAATAAGGATGGAAGTTGGAGTTACATGCCTGCAACTTCTTTTTCAAGTGTTTTATTTGGCCCAAACAAAGCAGATCAGATCTACACTCAGCATTTTGGGAGTGTGAGATCTTGTCTCAAAAAATTAAAAGGGATGAAAAAGTGTACCAATGTATCATGATAAAGAAAAGGCTAATAGAAAATATCAATAACTACTGAGTATACATGTGAAAGGCATGCAGGCATTCATTGTCCTATACATAGAATTTTTCAAAAAGAAGTATAAGCAAAAAAGCAGAACTAAAGATTGTCTCCAATAAATGTCTGGCTTCTTTAACTAGAGACATTTAAGTATACGCAGATGAGTTGTTATCCTTAAACTTTTTGTCTGTTTTGGCAACAGTGGGATTAAACCTTGGGCACTTCACCCTGAGTTACAGCCCTTATCCAATCTCTAATGGAAATTTGTGCTCTAATGATAGCATATGCCTACAATCCTAACACCTGGAATACAGAAGGCAGACCCAAAGTTCAAGGTCATCCTGAGCTACTGAGCAAGTTTTAGGCTAGCCTGACCCATATGAGACCCTGTCTCCCCAAAAAACATAAAATTAAGTTAAAACACTAATTCCCTTTCTCAAAAAATTACCAGCTATTATAAAAAAATAGCATTTACCAAAGAAGTAAAACTTGGTAAAAGATAAAGAGACCGTATTGGGGGGCTGGAGGGATGGCTCAGCGGTTAAGAACACTGGTTGTTCTTACAGAAGATGTAGGTTCAAATCCCAGCATCCACATGGCAGCTAACAACTGTCCATAACTCCAGTCCCAGGGAATCCAACAGCCTCTTCTGACCTCCACGGGCATTGCATGACACAGGTACACTTACCTACATGCAGGCAATACATGCATACACGTAATATAAAGTTTTGCTTGAGATTTTCTTAGGAGCAAAGAAACGCGAGCCCTGAGGGAACAGGTCCATTCCCACGGCAAACACTCGGGAATGGAATCTCTGAATGTGGACTGCTGGCTCCAGCTTGCCACAGGGAACCAGAGGCAGAAAAACAGCACCATCCCTAGGTACTTCCTTAAAAAAACAAATGGCTGGAGAGATAGCTCAGTGGTTAAGAGCATTGGCTGCTCTTGCTGAGGACCCGGGTTTGATTCCCGCACCCACATGACGGCTACGAATCATCCTTAACTCCAGTTCCAGGAAAATCCGAAGCCCTCTTCTGACCTCCAAGGCATTGCACGACACAGGTGCACTCACACACATGCAGGCAATACACACATACACATAAAATAAGTAAAATATTTTTTTAAAAAAGAGAGACTACACTGTAATTAGAAAAGTTTAATTCATTCCACAAACAAGTGTCTCTCTTCTATGGCAAAGACCTTACCCGTCTCCTGGGAATAGGACAACGGATATCTGGTTGGTCACCAAAGTTCTTATAGGTGATGTAATTTTCAGAGCAGATCAGCACTCCACTTGGACCATCTGACCCTCCAGGAACTACGAGAAAATAAAACTTAACAGTTTAATTTAAGTCTGTTAACTTAACAGACTTAGTGGACTTTCAATTCCTTTCCCTCACACTCCATGAAGGCTGAGTGCCTGAAGCTGAAAGACAATCCAAGTGTTTATTCCCTGATGTCCGCTTTACATATGGATGGAACAGTCTATTTGTATGTTAAACTTGGGTAATTTCAGTCTCAATAATGCATTCAAGTTATTTCCCAACCCAAAACTCAGTTATCAAGTTCAGACCTACAATCTAATTACCTAGTGGTTAGACATCTCACAGGTTCTTTTAAAAATATTTAAACCAGGGGCTGGAGAGAGTTCAGTGATTAAGAGCACTGGCTGCTCTTGCAGAAGACCTGGATTTGATTCCTAGCACCCACGTGGCAGCTAATAACTGTCCTTAACTATAGGTCCAGGGGATCCAAAGTCCTCTTCTTACCTCTGCAGGCAATATATAACATGGGAGCACTTACATATATGCAGGGAATATACTCGCACACATAAAATATTAAAAAATTTTTAGAAGATATATGAAATACACAAAAATGCAATAAAAATGTTTAAAAACAAACAACAAAACCTACTAAATGAACATAAGTTTTGTAAACTGAAGATGTGGTGGTGGGCTCGGGCTGTGAGAACTTGCCCTGAGTCTAATCCCCTACAATGCAAAAAAGGGGGCAGGGAGAGGGTGGGGGGTGAGGACAATGTTTCAGCAAGTGATAAAATGTAGTTATCTGCCAGGCATGGTGGCTCAGGCCTGTAGTCCCAGCACTTGGGAGGCAGAGGCAGGCAGATCTCTGTGCACTGGAGGCCAGCCTAGTCTACATAGTGAGTCCAGGCCAGATGAGGCTACAGGGAGACCCTGTCTCAAAAAGACCGGAAAAAAAAAAAAAATTAAGAATTAGAACAAACTAGTCACTACTCCAAATATGTTTCCATGAACCCATCAATAACAAATAAATCTCTGGTTGAAGAAGATACATTTTTTC